CTCCTGAAAGGGGCCCAGCATTCAGCTGAACTGAAGAGAGGAGATTTCTGTCCCCTTGAGTTTTATTTTTAAAGCTGTGAGGCACCCTCAAAGAGCATCCTTTTTTGTTTAAAGTCAGTAGCGTTCTTTACGATGGATTCAGTACGATGAGTTTGCTAGTATCGGCAGACCTCAACTTAAGATCTTAATGGAACCTGTCATCATGGTCGTAAGTCACAACAATTGTAAAAAGCCATAACTGCAGCTGTGTCGCCAAGAACTTTGGATCTGGCTCATAAGTAGCCCCCCCCCAATAGTTCCAGGGTAACTTTGAATGGTTGCTAAGACAACGGTTGCAGGTCAAAGACTGCCTGTATTAGGAATAAAAGAAAGAAAAAGATATTTGTGAAATGTAATTGTACCGAGAAAGGCTGAGTATTTGCCCTCTAGGCAAGGAAACTCTGTGGTCATGGCGTTCCCTAAAGTCCAAGTTTGCCTCCTTCAGATAAAGTTTATCTGGGACCCCCTCGCCTGTTTCAGGAGCTGCAGGATCTGCAAAAGGACCTGGCTGTCGTAGAGCAGATCACTCTTTTAATCAGCACCCTCCACGGCACCTACCAGGTGAGTCCATTTCGGAGTAGCCAGCACGCCATTGAAGGTGCTTCGCCACCAGCCCTGTGATTCACAAAATCGTGTGAAATAAGTTTGATCTGAAATGCAGAAGTTGTGAGCAACCCTTCCCACGACAGCTGAGTATTTTCTCCTTTCCACTCCCCCCCCCACATCCCCTCGGGTTGAAGCCAATCCCTCCCTCTCGGTGTAGAGAGGTTAAGTTGCTGTAGCATCATGTGGTTATTTCAGAGGCCTTTTAAGGCTGCTTTGCCGGCTTTGCAGCTCCTCCTCATGACAACTGCTTGGATTTTTAATTTATTCTTCGGAATAAATGCATGTGTTGTTGTTGTTAGTTGCGAAGTCGTGTCCAACCCATCGCGACCTCATGGACAACGTTCCTCCAGGCCTTCCTGTCCTCTACCATCTTCTGGAGTCCATTTAAGCTCACGCCTCCTGCTTCAGTGACTCCACCCAGTCACCTCATTCTCTGTCGTCCCCTTCTTCTCTTGCCCTCCATCTTTCCCAGCCTCAGGCTCTTCTCCAGTGAGTCCTTCCTTCTCATTCGGTGGCCAAAGTATTTGAGTTTCAACTTCAGGATCTGGCCTTCTAAAGAGCAGTCAGGGTTAATCTCCTCTAAGACTGACCGGTTGGATCGCCTTGCAGTCCAGGGGACTCGCAGGAGTCTTCTCCAGCACCAGAGTTCAAAGGCCTCCATTCTTTGGCGCTCAACCTTTCTTATGGTCCAGCTTTCACAGCCATTCACTGCAACTGGGAAAACCATGGCCTTGACTATACGCACTTTTGTTGGCAGGGTGATGTCTCTGCTTTTGAGTATGCTGTCTAGATTTGCATGTAACATGTTCTAAATATGTGGAGAGCAGAGAGACAGGAAGCTGACATGCGTTATTCTCTCTGATGAGCTGAACGGCTGATGTATCGATGCTAATTTATTGATCAGCTCGTGATTCTCGCAGCTTGGGGGAGGGGCGTTCTGCAGCCCTGAAGACAGGGCGGGTTAGGTTTTTGAGGAATTAAAAAGGGTAGGTCTAAGGACCTGCCCCAGCTGATCTGCTCAGGAAAGCACGACTCTTGACTCCGTAACTTAATCGAAAGAACCTTTACTGAGAGAAAGTGGATGCAGTAAAGTCAGGCGGAATCTAACAGTGCCTTCGCCCAAAGCAATTCTTCCCATTCCAAAACTCAGCCCTCCCCTTAACCAGTCCACTGGCAGCAAATGCATTGCCACAAGGATGTTTTGAGAACGCTGAGGTGCAAGGCAGATCACGGGTCATCCTCAGGGCGCAGCGGCCTTGGAGACAGGCCGAAACCAGTTGAGAGGGACTTCTTCTCGTCTCCGAAGACGTTCCCCCTCCCTAACGCCCATGTGGTTTCAGCAAAAGCAAAAGCATGCAAAGAATGCTCCCCAGGGCCTCCTCTTTCCCCCCCCCAACAGAATGGCAGGGCACCCCAAAGGGCTCCTGACAGTAGGTCTATATCAGGGGTAGGCAACCTTGGCTCTTTTATGACTCGTGGACTTCAACTCCCAGAATTCCTGAGCCGGCATGGCTCAGCTTGGAAATCTCTCCCTTTCCCTCAGCATGGCTGGCTCAGGAATTCTGGGAGTTGAAGTCCACGAGTCATGAGGGGGCCATAGTTCCCCCATGCTGGCTCAGGAATTCTGGGAGTTGAAGTCCACGAGTCATGAGGGGGCCATAGTTCCCCCATGCTGGCTCAGGAATTCTGGGAGTTGAAGTCCATGAGTCACAAAAGAGCCAAGATTGCCTACCCCTGGTCTATACAGAAACTCCAGCGAGCGACATGATGCAAAATTATAGGTAGTCCTCGCCTTACGAACACAATTCAGCCCAAAATTCCTATGGCTAAGCAGGACATTTGTTAAGTGAGTTTTGCCCCATTTTACGACCTTTCCTGGCACCGTTGTTAAGTGAGTCAGTGCAGTTGTTAAGTTAGCAGCACGGTTGTAAAGTGGAATCCGACTTCCCCATTGGCTTTGCTTGTCAGAAAGCCGCCAAAGGGGATCACGTGACCCCTGGGGGACACGGCGACTGTCATAAATGTGAGTCAGTTGCCAAGCATCTGAATGTAAATCACACGGGGATGCTGTAACGGTCATAAGTGTGAAAATTGGTCCTAAGTCCCATTTTTTCCCCAGTGCCGTTGTAAGTTTGAACCGTCACTAAACGAATGGTTGTAAGTTGAGGTCTTGTGCTTGAGCAACAAGAAAAACCTTGGAAGATTCCTTTCTGTCCTAATTGGAGAATTTGCTCCCAACACTGTTAGAAATGAACTCCGCATGCCAGATCCACCCTACCCCTGAAACGAGGGACCCGATGAATTAATTTTCTTTTTTTTTTCCACTTGGCTTCTAGAACCTGAACATGACTGTGGCCCAAGACTGGTGCTTAGCTCTGCAGAGGATGATGAGGGTGAAGGAGGAAGAGATCCACTCGGCCAACAAATGCCGCCTCCGTCTCTTACTTCCTGGGAAACCCGACAAGTAGGTGGGACGGTTCATTTCCTAAGGGTGGCTCAGGAGAACCCATAATGACGTTCGAAGCCCACCCACCCACCCATGACTCCAGCTTCAGCCCACCCTTCCACGGCTGCTGCACCAAAGCCAGGAGTGGGTGACCCACCAGCCCTCAAGCTGTGTGAGGTCCCCTGTGACCATAATGGACACTTTTTATTTTCTCCTTCTGGGCATCACTTAGTTTGAGCTGTGGTGGTGCAGTGGTTAGAAGGCAGTACTGCAGGCTAATTCTGCCCGCAGTTCGGCAGTTCAATCCTGACAGGCTCAAGGATGACTCAGCCTTCCATCCTTCTGAGGTCAGTCAAATGAGGACCCAGATTGTTGGGGGCAAGTTGCTGACTCTGTAAACTGCTTAGAGTGGGCTGTGAAGCACTGTGAAGCAGTATATAAGTCTAAGTACTACTGCTATTGCTGTAGCTGATCGGATGTTAAAATTAAGAGCCGTGGTAGCGAATGGTTAGAATGCACGATTGCAGGCAAACTCTGCCCACAGCCAGGAGTTCGATCCTGACCGGCTCAAGGTTGACTCAGCCTTCCATCTTTCTGAAGTCAGTAAAATGAGGACCCAGATTGTTGGGGGCAACAGGCTGACTCTAAACCGCTTAGAGAGGGCTGTGAAGCACTGTGAAGCGGTATATAAGTCTTATTGCTTGGGAAGGAAGGAAGGAAGGAAGGAAGGAAAAATGAGAAGGAAGGGAAATGAGAAGGAAGGAAGAAAGCTGTGGTGGCGCAGTGGTTAGAATGCAGGATTGCAAGCTGACGGCCCACTACCAGCAGTTCGATCCTGACCGGCTCAAGGTTGACTCAGCCTTCCATCCTTCCGAGGTCGGTAAAATGAGGACCCAGATTGTTGGGCGCAATACGTTGACTCTGTAAACCGCTTAGAGAGGGCTGTAAAGCACTATGAAGCGGTATATAAGTCTAAGTGCTGTTGCTATGTAAGAGCCGTGGTGGCACAGTGGTTAGAATGCAGCATTGCATGCTGACTCTGCCACAGTCTGGAGTTTGATCCTGACTAGTTCAAGGTTGACTCAGCCTTCCATCCTTCTGAGGTCGGTCAAATGAGGACCCAGATTATTGGGGGCAACAGGTTGACTCTGTAAACCGCTTAGCGAGGGCTGTAAAGCACTGTGAAGCGGTATATAAGTCTAAGTGCTGTTGCTATTTACAGGTGACCCTTATCTGATTCTCCTTGCTTTAATATGTCTTTATCCCTGCAAAGAGCCGCTGCTGGCTTCTAAACGTAATGCAGAATTTAGCACAATTTAAGAACAGGAAGCTCAAAGAGGACCTTTGGGGTAATCAGCGTTCCTCCTAAAATGATCTCTCTTCACCCTTCCCCAACTCCAGATTTAATACAGGTAGCCCTTGACTTACAACAGTTCATTTAGTGACCGTTCTAAGTTAACAATGGCACCGAAAAAATCTGGCTTGCGACTGTTTTTCACTGTTACAACTTTTGCAGCCTCCCTCAGGGTCACATGATCAAAATTCAGACGCTGGGCAGTTGACTCGTATTTATGATGGTCGCAACGTCCCCGAGGATCACGCAATCCTCTTTTGCGACCTTCTGACAAGCAAAGTCAATGGGGGAAGCTAAATTCACTTAACAACCGGGTTACTCACTTAACAACTGCAGTGATTTGCTTAACAAATGTGGCAAAACAAAGTCATAAAATGGGGCAAAACTCACTTAGCTAATTTCTCGCTTAGCGACGTAAATTCCAGCCTCGTAAGCCGAGGTCTGTCTGTAGTAGCCTCTTTAGGTAGCCGTTCATTTTTTTCTAAAAAGCGAGACTCTGCCTTTAGTTAATAAAAGAGGAAGCACATCCGAGCCGAAGGAGATTTAGAATCCTAGGGCTGCACGGGACCTCGGAGCCATCTAGTCCAACCCCTTATACCAGGGGTAGGGAACCTTGGCTCTTTTATGACTCGTGGACTTCAACTCCCAGAATTCCTGAGCCAGCTCGGGGGAACTATGGCCCCCTCATGACTCGTGGACTTCAACTCCCAGAATTCCTGAGCCAGCATGGGGAAACTATGGTCACCTCATGATTCGTGGACTTCAACTCCCAGAATTCCTGAGCCAGCTCGGGGGAACTATGGCCCTCTCATGACTCGTGGACTTCAACTCCCAGAATTCCTGAGCCAGCTCGGGGAAACTATGGCCCCCTCATGATTCGTGGACTTCAACTCCCAGAATTCCTGAGCCAGCATGGGGAAACTATGGTCACCTCATGATTCGTGGACTTCAACTCCCAGAATTCCTGAGCCAGCTCGGGGGAACTATGGCCCTCTCATGACTCGTGGACTTCAACTCCCAGAATTCCTGAGCCAGCATGGGGGAACTATGACGCCCTCATGACTCGTGGACTTCAACTCCCAGAATTCCTGAGCCACCCTGGCTCAGCTTGGAAACCTCTCCCTTTCCCCTCAGCGTGGCTGGCTCAGGAATTCTGGGAGTTGAAGTCCACGAGTCATAAAAGAGCCGAGGTTGCCTACCTCTGCCTTATACCATCCTGGATTTCTGTGTTCACGTTGTCGTCTTTATCTTTTGGGATTTATTTTTTAACACAGGGCCGGCCGTCCAGTCAGCGTCATGGTGGTCTTCATCACGCCGAACCCCCTCAGCAAAATTTCCTGGGTGAATTATTTGCACTTGGCCAAAATCGCTCTCCGTGAGTAAAATCGCCTTTGCTTACTTTTATTCTGGGTTCAATGCTTCTTCGTAACCCAGGTCAGATACAGTCCTCGACCTAACAGCCGTTTGTTTAGTGACAGTTCAAGCTTTAAAAGAATGATCCGATCTGAGTCGGTCACCGGGACGTATGGGATAAAGGGTGAAGGAATTGTCGTAAATGACAATTGCTACCATGGCAGTTTTCCCGACAGTCACGGGATCAAAATTTGGGTGCTCGGTGACTGGCGTGTACTTCCGACAGCTGCAAGGTCTCCCGGTCATGTGATCGCTATTGGCCGGCTTCTGACAAGCAGAGTCAGTGAGGGATTTGCTTAACAACGTCCTGATTCGCTTAGCGACTCAATCAAACAAGGTCTTTCAGCTGGCTGGTGTTGCCTTTGGTGAGATGGGCAGCACACAAAAGTAAGGAAGAAAGGAAGGAAAGAAGGAAGAGAGGAAGGAAGGGAGGGAGGGAAAAGGAAGGAAGAAAAAGTAAGGGAGGGAGGAAGGGAAGGAAGGGAGGAAGGGAAGGAAGGAAGGAAAAGAAGGAAGGGAGGGAGGGAAGGAAAAGAAGGAAGGGAGGGAAAAGGAAGGAAGAGGGAGGAAGGAAAGGAAAGAAGGAAGGGAAGAAGAAAGGAAAAGAAAGAAGGAAGAAAGGAAGGAAGGGAGAAAAGGAAGGAAAGGGAGGAAGGAAAAGGAAAGGAAGGAAGGGAAAGAAGGAAGGAAGCAAAGAAGGGAGGGAGGGAGGAAAAGGAAGGAAAGAAGCAAAGGAAGGGAAAGAAGGAAGAAAGGAAAGAAGGGAGGGAGGGAGGAAAAGGAAGGGAAGAAGGAAAGGAAGGGAAAGAAGGAAGGAAGGAAAGAAGGGAGGAAGGAAGGAAAGGAAGGGAAAGAAGGAAGGAAGGAAAGAAGGGAGGAAGGAAGGAAAGGAAGGGAAAGAAGGAAGGAAGGAAGGACAGTGATTGGCTTAACAACCATGGCAAATGTGATCATAAAATCGGTCGCAACCCCCTGAATAACAACCACATTGTTTAACGACGGAAATTCTGGTCCCAACTGTAGTTGTAAGTTGAGAACCATTTCTGCAGAAGCTTTGGAAAAAGCTGTTAACATGATTATCATGTATGATTTCCCCACTAAAATATTCAGTAAGTCGCTTTTTTTTAATGGCTTACTTATGTTTTAATATTTTCTGTAATTAAAGTGCTGAGCAGCCACTCCCAAGATACTTGGCAAAGAAGAGAAATTAATTGCTTACCTCTCCGTGAGTGGTGGGACTTCCCCACCCCCCAGAAAATATTCCATAAGGAAATTGATAAAAAGTTTGTGACTTTTAGGGGTCTCTTTGGATTCTGTTCTGCCTGCCTGCCTGCCTGCTCGCCCTAATGAGATAACTTTAGGTGAAGAGAGACTTAATTTGCTTCATCTGTTTTAAATTTTATTAATGGAGTGTGGCAAATAAACAAGAGAAGAGCAATCCAGTCTGCTTAAATTTTATTAATGAAGTGTAGCAGATAAAAGAATAATACATTAATGATAATACGATAAGGAGCTACATATATTAAAGCTGTGCGGGGTTCCCCCCCCCCCCAATCTCAGCAACTTGAAGACTTCTGAAAATTGAAGCTTCGGCAACTTAAAAGTTGCCAAGACTGAGAAACACTACATTAAAATGAAAATTAAGAGGGGGGGAAATGAGAATTTAGGAAGGAAAAAAAAACCCTGTATGCTGTTAATATAACACTGATTCAGTCCTTAATCCTACTATATCTAGATCGTATAAAAATACTGCTACATCTTTCCTTTTTTATAACAGAAAGACTTTTTAAAAATAGATGAAAATACCACCTTTGCGGAGATGGACGGCCCTATCAATCTGATTGATAAATAAAAATAATTAATAAATAAAGACTTCACACACTTTTATAGCTACAGGAGAGGACAAGGGACACAGGGCTGATGTGACAGTCCCTTCCCTTCTTGGTCTTCTTTTTAGTTATTGAGTGTGTCTGTAGTTCTAAAGATCACGGGTCAACCTTCATTTAAGGAATCCTAGAAACCTCTATAAATCAAACTATTCACCTCCTTTGCAAGGAGCACAGTGTGGGGAACGCTACATTACTGGAATGCTTCTAAAATCAGCAAGCTGTGGTTCTGGGCTGCTGGGCTATCTGTGGTCCCTTCTGTGCATTTGAGGAGGGGTCAGTCAGAACATTTATCATTGTTATCCACAGCCAGCATAACCCAGATGGCTCTTCCAGGCTTCTGTGAAGGGCATTCCCATTCTGCTTTGCTTCACAGATGGGCAGTTGGCCAAGGTTGACTGTTAAGTCAAGGTTGACTGTTGGCCAAGGTTGACTGTTGGCCAAGGTTGACATTTGGTCAAGGTTGACTGTTGGTCAAGGTTGACTGTTGGCCAGTTGATTGATGAACAAGATTGACTGTTGGTCAAGGTTGACTGTTGGCCAAGGTTGACTATTGGCCAAGATTGACTGTTGGCCAAGGTTGACTGTTGACCAAGGTTGACTGTTGGCCAAGGTTGATGTTGGCCAAGGTTGACTGATGAACAAGGTTGACTGTTGGTCAAGATTGACTGTTGGTCAAGATTGACTGTTGGCCAAGGTTGACTGTTGGCCAAGGTTGACTGTTGGTCAAGGTTGACTGTTGGTCAAGGTTGACTGTTGGTCAAGGTTGACTGTTGACTGTTGGTCAAGGTTGACTGTTGGTCAAGGTTGACTGTTGGCCAAGATTGACTGTTGGCCAAGGTTGATTGTTGGCCAAGGTTGACTGTTGACTAAGATTGTTGATCAAAGTTGACTGTTGGCCAAGGTCATAGGGCAAATTTGAACCTCACCCTGGGAGAGGAGATTTTCCAACTCTTCTCTGTCCCCCTGCAGGGGAAGAAAACCAGCCTGGATGGGTCTGCCCTGAAGAAGACAAGAAGAGCAAAGCCGCTTTCTGGTGTCCCATTTTGGTCTGTCACATCCCTGCCTTCTCCTCCAGGGCCCTTGACCTGCAGGTAAGGAGACCCCAAACTGGTCCCACTCCAAGGGCCAACTTCTGAGCATCTTTTCAAGGACTTGCATCTTCTTCTACTTCATTTCAGGTAGTCCTCAACTTATAACTGATGGCTTAATGACCATTTGAAGTTACAGGGAACCCCTCCCTCCAAGCTACTTACGAGCAAGTTCTAAAGTTATGGCTACTGCAGTGCTCCCTTGGTCGTTCATCCTTATGACTGACCATAGGGACGCTTCAGTGCCCCCTCCACTTACCTTTCCTAATGACCATCAAGACTTGGAGACTGCAATGGTCAGGCTCCATTATGTTCATAGATCAAAGACTTAATTGTATAGCGACCCTTGCAATACTGGTAGCTTGGTCAGAGTCGCTTTGCAGAGAGGTAGGGCACCTACAAATTTAATAAATAATCCATCCTGTGAAAGCCCTCAGAAAAGCACCAGTGGATGGTGGTGATGGTGAGGGGCCTCTATTATTTATTCAGATTTATTACAGCCACACAACTCCCAACACGTCACCATCGGTGTGTGTTTCAGCTGGCTGTGTGTACCTTGTCGGATGCTGGAGAAACAGGCCTGGTAAAGCAGGAAAGGTCAGCCTGTGTCTTAAAATGCTTTTTCCAAAGGCAGCTGGGTTTTTTTTTCAAAGGAGGAGGAGGAAGAGGAGGAAGAGGAGGAAGAAGAAGAAGAAGAAAAAGAAAAAAGAAGAAGAAGAAGAAGAAGAAGAGGAGGAGGAGGAGGAGGAGGAGGAGGGGGAAGGGAAGAAGGAAAGGAAGGAAGGAAGGAAGGAAGGAAGAAAGAAGATGATAAGATAAGATAAGATAAGATAAGATAAGATAAGATAACCTTTATTGTCATTTTTATACTGTGGGCACAATGGCACACATCAAAAATGAAATTTAGTTGCCCGCTCTCAAAGTGAAACACATACATGACACACACCTAAACATACTATGAACAAGAAAGAAAGAAAGAAAGAAAGAAAGAGAAAGAAAGAAAGAAAGAAAGAAAGGAAAAGAAAGAAAGAAAGAAAGAAAGAAAGAAAGAAAGAAAGAAAGAAAGAAAGAAGTCCAGTTGCCTTTGGGAAAAGCACCTTTGAGACAACCATGACCTGGATAACTGAGAATCTCCATAGACAGTCAACCTGTGTCTTTTGTAACAGACACATCTCTTGGGAAAGCCACAAAAAACCTCCCTACAGCCCTTTAGCAGAAGCCCACATAATTGGGCCTCTTCTGAAGAGAGTCTAAATATTATCCTTTTTTAAAAAAAAAAATAGCCCAGTTTTTAAGCTGCTGGTGGAACTTGTTCTCTTTAAGGCCTCAAAAAGGCTTTTTTGGCTAATTGAAGGATGGCCTCCAGGATGGCAGACACCCCTCCCCCTTATTTTCCTTCCCCCCCCCCAGTAATTTAGCTGTTCTTCTCCTGCATCCATCCAGTTGCATCTTTTGCTGTTTTTGATGATCTGCGACTTTAGTCCCATCCTTTTCTCTCCCCCTCCTTCTAAGTGAGAAATATATTATGATCCATCTACAAAGAGTTTTGTCTGTGCCAGTGTCCTTCTCTCTCGGTCCCGGAGGACTTAAAATCCCTTCCAGGTTTCCCTGGATCTTCAAAGCTGCCTCTCCTTTTTTCACCTCTGTTGAAAGAGGCGTGGGTAGGGCTTAGTTTAGATTTTATTTTAGTTTTTTGGGGGGAGAAGGAGATGTTTTTTGGCGCTATTCGTCCCTTCTTGATTTTGCTTTCCTAGGTTACTTTGAAGGCAGAAAGAGGGGGGAAAAAAATCAATGCCTTTTTGCAGAACTTCGTGGAAGAGACTTAACTGTGTCTGCTAAAATTGAAGCTGGGAAGGCTGGGTGAGAAATCCCCAGACCTGCAGAAGCTGCTAAACTGCTAAACTGCAGGAGCACTTAGTTTTCTCCACCAAAGTTCATCTTCTGACTAGTTCAATGTCTGGGCTAAATGCAATGCTAGCGTGATTTGGCCTAAGTACCCAAAACTATGTGATAGACAGAGAGTTGATACAGTTATTTGTTTATTTATTTTTTTTAATTAGATTTGTTTGCTGCCCATCTCGCTTGGAGGTGACTTACTTGCCTCTGGAGAGGAGACTCTGCTCATACCTCTGCAAAACCTCCAGAAGTCTAAAATTGGGAAATTCTAGGCTGATGTGTGCAAATTCCATTTTTAAAAAAAATTAAAATCTCCCTTCAGTGAAGGATCTGGATTTTTTGTTCCCTCTCTTTCTGAACCTTCCAGTGAAAATCCTCAGAGAGAAGGAAGGAACGAGGGAGGGAGGGAGGGAAGGAAGGAAGGAAGGGAGGGAGGGAGGGAAGGAGGGAGG